AGAAAAGGTAAGATGAGTACTGTGGAAGTGGTCGAATATAGCATGCGGTGGGTTCATGGCAGGGTGAAGTCAACTGTGGATTTATATAAATTTTTGCCGTATGACTACACGTTGCCCAGATTGCACCACGTGAGCATGCTTCGTATAATTTTAATTTACTATTTACTTATTATGCACTGTTCAACCCAAATGCATGTGATGTAACTCTTCGAAACCTTGACGTTGGGCTCAGCTTCTTTTGGAATTCAGGCTACCTCAGGTCTAAGCTTCTGCACTTTGATGGGTTGCCAAGTTTACTACCTAAGCCTACTTGCAATTCCTCAGCACTATTTATCACTTAACTCCCACCGGTCGGACTTATCCAGATCGTTTTCTTCTCTCTGCCTTCTTTTGATTCGTTAATCAATCAGCTAAAAATTGTGCCTTTGAGCTATTCTTGTTTATTGGTCAATATTCTGTTATGGCCATTTTTACTTGGTATTGCCACCATCATAAATAATCTAAAAGGAACATTCCGGCTTCATTATAACCGCTAATCTATTTAAAGAATCTCGTGAAGTTTAAGTTGTAGATTTTCTCTGTAACCTTGTCGAGTTTGCTAGCACTCCAGTATTTTCTTGACCTCAAATTTTCAGCCTTCCAAATGGACTCCTTCAATATGGCCACAGCGCCAATGAGCCCTAGTGACGATGCCTGGCTCTCGGAGGCTCCTGAAGATGTCGACGTGGCTGTAGCTGTTCGAGATTTCGCCAAAGCTGCGCGTCTTATTTCTCGCGCCAGGCGTCGATTGGCTCAACTCATTCCCTCGGACTCCAGCCAGCAGCATCAGCAATCGCATGTGTCGGCAGCTGCTCTTGGACTAATCAAACTGAGGGAGAGGGTCGAGTCGAGAGCGGCGAACCTTTCCGCTGTCTTGCAGGAGGAACTTACTAGAGCGGCGGATCGATACAGTAAGTTGTATTTTTAAATGGTGCTACCGTAGGTCTAAACGATAGTGGTAATGCAATGTCACTTGAGCCTTAAAATGTGAGGCTAGTTTAATATGCTCCTTCTTTCAACCCACCGGTTGAAAGCCCCTAATCAGCCAATTCCTCTGCAGCACAACAGGTTGATTAAAAGCTTCTCTCAAACCAATAAGTTTCATAAAAGTTCTATTAAGTATATTCGATTTTCTTCTTTTGAAGAACGATTATTTGCCATTTTTAATGCACAAGTCTCTATCCTGAAATTGCTGTATGGTTGAGTACAAGCGAAAAGTTATATTGTGAACTCTTATCCGCAAATATATTATAGCTGTGAATTCGAAGCTGAGTATAAGATTTATTAGAGGACACCTTTAAGACCCATCGAGATTAAATAGTAGGCTTTTGTGCAAGAAAGGTATATCAAGGTTTGTCAAAAGCATTAAGCTGTAAGAGTGGGGGGAATAAGAAACCACCTTGCCACAACGACTACGTCCATGGAAGTTGGCATGGGATGGAAGTCGATTGTATCTGAATTAAAACTTCTCTTCGATCCTTGTACGCCGATGTTTGTCCACATTTTCGCAAGCTCTTCTCAATTGGCCAAAGGGGTTGCTACATAACCCACTCCAGCGTTCTCATCAACAATATGTTTGATGAATTACTAAAAGTGCAAAGCAGGTCGCCTGCAGTGGTAATGCAATATAGGCAGGTGGATGCTAAAACTCTCCTATTTTAAAACTAGAATATGGACTTCATGGAAGTGTTATCGGTTTCGCAGAACCTGAATAGATGCATTTTACTGAAATCATGTGAGTAGCATGTCCCCCTCGAAGTTCGTTTTTCTTTATTTTCAAAATACTCATCAGGGTTCTAAGCTCCTTCACTTGTTCTTTAAAGCTGATTTAGCCTGCATAGGCTCAATGGGTAAGTGCACTCCTGGTCTTTCCATTGGTGACGCACTTTTGCTTCTCTCTTGATTCTAACTTCTTCGCATGAAATCTGCACACTAATATTTTCTCTTCTCATTTTCCTATTACTGAATTTATTTCGGTAGCGTTGTTCTTTTAATCATGCCTCAAATAATGCACGAAAGTTTGTTCGCAAGAAGATTTGGGTAATTATTTTTCCTTTGCGCATTTGATGACTAGTTATCAACATCAGAATTTCGTCTAACGTATTTCCTTTTTCACCTCTTACTCCTGCTTTTCATGTTCAACCTATTTCAAAATATATATCATCACTGATTCCTAGCCTAACTTTTACCCGGGTGACTGGCTCATCTATTGGCACTGAGAGTTCAATGGCGTATGTTCTCCCTTAGGTGCTACCCAATCAGTACATTCGGCTGCAATTCATCTATCGGAATTGGGCAAGACAGTATTGGCTCTTCATCTCTTCCTCGCTTATCGATCGGGAGTCATTGGAAGCAGTTTGGTTCGAGGAGTGCGTCAAGAGGGTAATCAACTGGTCTATCTCAATCGACTCTCCTTTGTTTTCCATCGTGGACTAGTTGAATCAGTAGCAGAATGGAATCAACTTATTGAACAGTTGAGAAAGCAACCCGACTTTGTAGGACTGGATGATGTTGTTACATCAAGCAAGTTGGGATATCTCTTTTCTATGGATCGACGGTGTGTGATATTGATTGGTCTGCTTCCTTGTAGAGCTCTGTAGTTGGGTATTGGACGAGACCATCCGGTTTTGCAATCAATTGAAGATTCTTCTCATTGATAGTCGATCGATATCTTTCTACGCAATGGCTTGTGCTAGCGAACGTATCCATGCTCATGCAAAGAAGGTAAACTGTGTAGCCTACCGGAATTAACTTTACTTCTAAATACCCAACTTGCCTTTTCGCACTTACTTAGGCTACTGAATTAATTGGAGTGGATGTAACGTCGACTTTGGACAATTGCCTTCTCAAATCGTGGCAAAAGGCAGTAGAGGAGCAGGGAAGGGTCTACAGAGATGGTATTGAACATCGAGCTTCTGTAAGTCTGCAATTTCCTATGCGTTCAGGACTCTGTTATTTAACGTGACACAATTTCTCTGCTTCAATGATAAGGCGTACGGGTATTCGTCTTTTGGCTTTTTCCACTTGTTACATATCTTGTTTTCCAACTCAGCGTTTTATCATAACAGTTTGTAGCTTTGCAAGTTATTGGTGTGGGGTGACGCAGTTCTTTTTGTTCACCGTTCATCTTGCTTTTACAATGGTTAGAAGTTTTTCGACTACTTATCTTAAAAATGTTCAGTTCTGTGCCGCCATTCTGTTGGGGTTGAGTTATCTCCATGCTTCCCTTTGATCCTGCTCATGGTGGGCATAATTTCCACATTTCTTGTTTACTACTAACACCAGCCTACCTGTCTCCACAATGCCCATAGTAGATGTGAATAATCCCTATATGGCTAAATATTTTGTGTTATGATACCTGTTTCTTCATCATCAATAATTAGGCATCTTTCCGCCTACCCCCCCCCCCTCCTTCTCCTTTATACGCCTTTCATTTGACGTAATAACAAAGACATTGCAAAAGTGTTGGTTGGTGGAGCTCCAAAGGTGAGTAATAAAGGCGGGAGTGAAAGAAACGAGAGATGGGCTGTAGTGGTTTAGAAGTTACTACAAAAATCCATAGTCAAGGTAAAAGTGTAAGTAAAATTTTATTATCTCTAAAATTCATGATCTACAATCCGCAAGTTATTTATATTTTACCAAACCTATAGTATTCGTTTTTGTCGAAACAAGTATTAAACGCAAAATTCCAGGGGTACATGAGCTACGTCATTTTAGTCACTAGGACCTTAGGTGCGGTTTGTTAAATTCAGACACTCGGCGACTTTAGCATTTCCAAATTTGGCAATGTCGCTCCTCTACCCTAGGGCTTTTAGAAGTATTCTGTATAAGTTAAGCTCTACTGTAAAGAGGTGGTTGGTAGGATTTCAACTGCAGGTGGTGGTTTTTTATCTTGCGCTTGATTGGACCACATCCGAATTTGCCACTTTCAAAGTGTTGGGAGTTTTTACCCCTCCCATATGTATCCTTGCAGGGTTTCTAATGGGTGAAGTCTTTTTAAGCATCTTCTACATTTATGAATTAGCAAAAAAGTGTCACCAGTTGTGTACGGTTAAAACTATCCCTTTACTGTTCCCGATTCTGTTTTAGAAGGAAAATTGGCGGCCTTCGGAAAATGCTGATGCGAATATCAAGACAATGACAGAAGCTGGTTTTCCTGAAGCTAAGCAAAGTCTAGCCGGTGTGTAAAGGCCAAAATTTCTTTTATGTATTTTGCACAAGCTAATGGCGTTTCCTTTTTAAGGTGGCAAAGGTGGTTTGTCGAATTTTACAACTCAGACAACTCGTTCTTTGTCGCATTTTGCCCATGCCTGCGCTCGATTTGACTGCGCTGAGCTAAGGGAATGTTGTGCCTCAACATTGGAAAGTATGCTACGTGGTGATTTGGAGGTCTATTCTCGCGCTTTGGCCTCCGCAAAGACTCAAGAAGAGGTATTTATGCCTTATAGGTAGTATACATTTTTTCGTGCCAACATCGAAATGACATAAAAATGTTCTCCTCGCTTTAGAACAAGGCAATTTTGTCGAATCTGCACTTCTTCACGTCCAAAGTAATTCCGAAAATTGCTTCAACAATGAACTGTGTTGAAAATCCGGCTGTGATGGTAGTCACGAAGGACTTCAAAAAAGTTCTTCGGGGAAACCAAAACTAGAAATGCATGATTATTCCCAACTATGTTTTATCTTAAATCGCTTTGGAATTGTTGCTTTTAATTTTATTAAAATGACTAAAAGATTTGCACAGAATTTTTTGTATTTGAAAACTGAAAGCAACCAACATAAGGGACGAAACGTGTGATTAAGGAACTTTGTTTATTTCTAAAACGAAAATATTGAAGGCAAGCATAATGTTAAACATGAACACGAGAGGTAGTCGCTGTTGTGAATTCTTGTTTCCATCTATATGACTAAAATTTGGAGGCTAGAAAATTATAGAATTAACAGAATTAGTTCATCAAGTAAAATTGTAAAAATTTATAAGCAGATCGATTATTTGCTATTTTGAAACAGTCGTTCGATGTTTTCAACCAAGGCGCAAAAAGCATTGTGCTTGGTATTATGCTCCTGTTGCAATTTTTCCTTCTCTTCTACCTTAACTATACACTCTTCATCCAATTCCCGCAAGGTGGACGACAGAATTTTCTTTTTGTTCTGAAATACTACCAATTGATTCTGAATAATTATTAATTTGGCATGCTAAACAATTTAATTAAATTGTCACATTACCTGATCGATCATATCAGCCTCTTTGTCGTGCATGCTTTGTTTCAACTGTTGAATATTATTCCTTACGGTATTAATTTGCTTTTTCACTAGAAGTAATTCCACAAAATATATCAAATTACAGTCTCGTATTTTTTGCTGTGTCTCAAGTGTCTCCTTTTCAGTCTGATAAATCTTTTCAAACAGTTCATTTAAAGGTCGAGTAATTTCATTTGCAGACATGTTATTAACGGAAGGTCACGAAATTTCATACACCAATCCAAAAACGTGAAGTACTTGTCAGCTTGAACGAAGCAATATTGAAAATTGGCTTAACTTATTACAACAAAGTTTTCAATTATTTAGAACAAAAATATCTTATTTGCGTATTAATATTTAGGAAACTAAAGGTGGCTCGAATATTCTTATTTCAGCAATTTTTGCAATTTATTATATACATAATGTTTTAGAATAATATATTATTATATACATTAATTGTGAAAAGAGTAGCTCCCTCATTTAATCAGTTTGGTTTAAATCATTTCTGTATGGTAAGTAAAACATGTCCATAAAGTAATGAATATTAATGCATAAAATAGCAAAAGTTTCTAACATTGAGTATATCTATCGTTAAATAGTCAACATATTTAATCAAAATATATTAATAGCTTTTCACAAACCGCAATCGATTCATACTATAAATACTCATTATTAAGCCTTTCAGTATTATGAATTGGAGATTTCTTTTTGCAAGGAGACAATATATATATATATATATATATATATATATATATATATATATTCATCCCTTTTTCACTGATTTTCCCTACAAGGAACGCCTAGTTATATAATTTTTAATCCTTTCAAGCAAAGATGCATTATCGAAAAATTTGTTTTCGACCCCCTTGGAATGATCTACACGTTGGGCTTTCCGCCCCAAAGTACACTCATGAGTAAAAACGGTCTTTAAAAAACAGTTGACGTTTGATTTCAAACTACCATGGCCCACTCTATCCTATTAGACCACCCAGACAATACTCCTATCACCTTACCTTTTTCTCAAACATTTTATCGGTCTCTTTCATGTCAGCAATTCACTCTACTGCTCCCACTCTCCACTTTTTACCACTTTGGGGTTCCTCCCCTCTGTGAAGCCCAAAGTCAACTAAAGAGTGAAAGACAACTTACATAAAGCCTGCAATTTGATATCTATAAACAAATAAAACAAGTATTTTCTCTGATTCCTAAGGTCTAATTCACATGTGCTCTACAAAGCACACTGCGTGTTACACATCTCCTAAACGCCTTTCTTTCCCAATTAGACTGTACTAATAGGTTGGCTCAGTGAGGCTATATGAAATGGAAATTCATGAAACTCCATATTCCATGGGCCTTACCATTCCTATGGTCTTCCTGTCTTCGCCTCCCAGATGCCCAAATGTCCATTGGCATTCACTTATACCATCCTGATTAGATTGGACCCAATATTCACTAATTATTCTCATATTATTGCCACGATGCCTACAACTATGCTACCTTAACTTTCGCAAGCGATTGTTCGTCAATTCCTGAATACGTGTCAGCCAAACTGAGGAGAACCTCCCACAGGAACGACTGCGGTATTTGTGCTATTCGTCGTTACGAGGCGTCAAATCGAGAGCAGCGTTAAATAAATACTTTAAACATTACTCAATATTGCCGATGCGCATGTGCCCACTTAACTTGTTGTGGCATCAAATCGAAAATTGATAAGTAGTAAAATCACATAACAAAGTATCTACAGGCACTCATACAAAGTGACCTCAAATGACCTTTTGACCACTGTGTATCAATAAATTGTCAATTAATACTTTTCCAAACAATAATTTACCTACTTTTCACATCTCCTCGATTTCATGCCTCAGATTCCTATCCACATGCATTCAAATTACATTTTACATTACATTACACTTACGAAGTAATCTTTAAAATTGCTCTATAAAATTCCGTTTTAAAGTTATTTCCTCCAATTCCTTCATCAAATCCTCGTCCTGAAATAATTGCAAACAAATTGTTTTAGATGAAATAAATAAATAATTATGTATGGACATATTCAGACATTGTAAGAGAGCGTACCCCCACATCCGGATCTTGGCCAAGTGGGTGTGGGATAACAAAATCACACTCGACCACGTAGTCTCCAATCATTTCAACTAGTTCTCCTTGAGAAGATTCATTTTTGTAAACCAAATCGTAAATAAGCCTCAAATCTGTAAGCAAGAAGAGGAAATATGAGAATTACGAGATCGCGACTATTTGGACAAAAACCTACCCTCATATTTGTTGCCACGCAACAGTGATTGCGAGTGAGATTTTATGCCTCTTGCCAACCTTTCATTTATCAGCCAATCATTTAATTTGCTAGTTAATTTTGGCAGTGAACTCTCTCGAAGGTAGACCTCTCCTCTTCGTACTTCATTTTCAACACAAGTCTTGACAAAGTGTAGATACTCCATAATTGGCTCAAAGGCGCTAAATGTACCAATATTGTTGAAACACTTCCAGGTTTCAATTCCTCTGGGTTCATAATGTTTCCTAACTTCATTCAAGTAGGCGTTTAAGTAGACTGGATAAATCGATGCGTTTGCACGACGCACAATAGAATAATTCAAACTTGGTTCGATCCCTTTTCTACGCTCCTCACGAAATAGTCTCGAAATCGTTCTTTCAATGCATCCTTCATATCTTTTGACTATCTCCCTTTCGAGCAAAGCTGCACTCTCGATTAGTTCTTTTGACGCTCAAAGAACAATATCTACGTCGTACCTCCCAGCCCACGTATGCTAAGGAGGCTAAATAATCATTAGTACCCGTTAAGATGCTCCTCCCCTTTTTCATTGCTTCCTCTTAAAGGGGGCGTCTACCCCTGCTTGTCTGCCTCCCCCTACAGACCACCCCTCTTTATCCTTTGTCGGCCATTGTCTAACACATCGATTTTATGGTAATTCGATTTTAAGTTGGCTCACCCCGAGATTAGATTTAAATATTGGGTGGGCAACTAAGTCATTGCCGTTTTCGTTGACAGATTCACTCTATACTTTCTTTTGTTTTGTTAACGTGGCCAGAGCATCTAACTTATATTTTTTTCTTACTGTATGGGCTTCTAGGTTAATTAGTAAATACTTTTTTTTGTTTAGTTCTTTAGTTTTGTTTTTATCCCAATTTAAAAATGAAAGAACAGGACGTGCACTTCCGACACATTTTATTGTATTACTTCCGACAAGGCAAGAACGCATCGCAAGCACAAATGAAGTTATGTGCCGTATATGGAGATGAAGCCTTAAAAGAAAGGCAGTGTCGAAATTGGTTTGAAAGATTTCGTTCCGGTGATTTTTCACTGAAAAATTCACAACGATCTGGTCGCCCAGTCGAAGTGGATGAAACCCATATCAAGGCCATTATCGATTCAAATCGTCACAGCACAACACGAGATATTGCAGAGAAGCTCAATGTGTCGCATACATGCATTGAAAAAGAAATTAAAAACCCTTGGTTATGTCAAGAAACTTGATTTATGGATCCCTCAGCAGTTAAAGGAAATTCATTTGACGCAACGGATTAGCATCTGTGATTCGCCGCTACTGAACGCAATGAGAATGATCCATTTCTGAAGAACCTAGTTACTGGCGACGAAAAGTGGATAGTTTATAACAATGTTACTCGCAAGAGATCATGGGTGAAGCAAGATCAACCAGCCCAAACAGTGTCAAAAGCAGAGATTCACCAAAAAAAGATTATGCTGTCAGTGTGGTGGGATCACAAAGGAATTTTGTATTTTGAACTCATGCCGCAGAACCAAACGATAAATTCAAATGTATATGTTGAAGAACTCGAATAACTGAAGGATGCAATTGAAGATAAGCGGCCGGCATTATCAAATCGGAAGGGTGTTGTTTTCCATCATGATAACGCAAGGCCCCCGCACACATCTTTGGTTACTCGGCGAAAATTATTGGAACTGGGTTGGGATGTTTTGTTTTGTCACACCCACCATATAGCCCTCACCTTGCGCCTTCGGATTACCATTTGTTTCGTTCCATGCAAAACTCTTTAAATGGTAAAATTTTTAACAACGCGGATGATGTCGAATCACACCTAATGCAGTTTTTTAATAGCAAAGACCAGACATTTTACGAACGGGGAATTTTTACTCTGCCAGAACGATGGAAAAAGGTCATCGACAAGAACGGCCAATTTCTAATTGAATAAAGTTATATTTTTAAACAAAAATTCCGAATTTGCCTTCTTATTTGAAATCGGCAATGACTTAGTTGCCCACCTAATAGCATACGCTTCTGGTTTAAAAAATTCAAAATCTCCGCCATTTTCCCGAAAAATCATTCGAGAGGAGCCAAATCACGCACGGATTATTTTTATTAATGTGCAATTATTAGCAATATGCATATCAGTAATAATAATAGTAATAAAAGAGACAATATGTAAGTAGTAGTTGCGACACAGTCATTTCTTCCGCTGCCAACAAGAGTTTGCAAGGCAGTTGCAAGAGAACAAAACAAGGATGTACATTCAAATGCATAAATAGCTGTGCCAGGAAGAGCACAGAGAATGAAAAGCAGGATGAGGAGGAGGAGGAGGAGAAGGGAAGTATCAGCAAACGAACAGAGGAGAAATACTTGGTGAGAGAACTGTGAACAGTGAGGGGTGTAGCAGAGGCGGCCTTCTGTTCTCCATTGCACTAATGATTACGGCTAAACAGATTCTGTACACACGTATTGAGGAAAAATAGATTTCAGAGCGAAAAAGGAAAGAAATGAAGAGAGTTGGGTATTACGAGGTCTCAGTGGCAGCATTATCACCAGAGGCATCATCAATTGTTGCTAGAGGAACTGATGGAGAAGTGCCGAGTTGCACCTTCGTCTTATGCACGTCTGCGTAAAGAGGTTCTGAGTCCAGTCCTAGGAGTACGGTACATTGATGAGATAATTATCGTTATAACTACCTAATAGCTTCTACAAAGTGCATCTCAATCTGAGTTTCAAGGGCTGACTCAGTCACATAAGTACATCAACAGTAATAGGTCCACATTCACCCACCTGCAAGAATATTGTCCATAATGCCGACTGTGTTGAGATGACGCGAATTGTGACGTTTTCGTTCACCGTCGTGTTTATCCTAAGTGAAAAAGGGGAAAATTGAAAAAAAAACTCGCAAAAAAAGAAACTGTTAAACGATAGGACGGAGAATTTCGGCGAGGCTAGAGAAAAATATTTAGATGCCGTAATAGCAAATTAGTAGAGTTTACAAAGAGAGATGGGGGAAAGGGATGGTATAAAGGACAAATTTCTTATTAGGGCGGCTTAAAGATGTCACCATTCTATCCAGAACGAATCTAAAATACCTCCTTATTTGGTAAAATTCGAGGTCTAGAGATCAATTGTCTATCCTGCCCACTCCGTTGAGTAGAAGACCATCCACTGGTTAATTCTGGTCAGTAAAACGGGTTGCATAATGTGAGCCTAACGTAAGAACGACTCTATGATACCTTCACAAGTAAAATGAAGTGAACAAATTCTCTCCAATCGGTTCAGGAGGGTTTTTAGCTAAATGGGCAACTATTAATTATAAATCGTCGTCAAGCATTAGGAATAATGAGCCAATAGGCAAACCCTAAAGAGTAGAGAATTGTTCCTTATAGCTAAACCTTGTGAACCAAAATGAAAAACTCACATGGCCGTTGTTACGGGTAGAGGAACGGGGCGCAGATTCTCGAGAGCGTTGTCGATGGAAGGCACCATTGTCTCGGCGATGTCCGGAACTAGGAGCAGCAGAAGAAGAGTAGGCTTTGCAGGAGGAAGCCTTTGATATGTTATTCCTAGCCTTTCTCCCTGAATCAGCAGACCATTTCTAAAATTAACCACGAAATACTACTTAGCATATTATAAGTAGAAGGGAATGAGTAAATGCTATGTAACGAGCTTGCACATACATATTCTGATATCGACAAAGTATTTACTGCACTAAAGTAAGTAAACATTCATCTGAGCTACTTTCTTCTTCTAGATCTGACTAAATGCAATGTGCATTTAAGTAGTATATTTGGTCTCTTGAAAACACTTCAAGTGAGAACCAAGAACAAGGCATTTAAAAAGACGCTTGAAAATGTACAAGTAGTGAGATCAGTGAGATCTGAATGGAAAAAAACAAATATCAGATTACGAAACAAAAAAATGAGAAGAATGTTTGAGATGAACAAATGCGGGTCTTTTCTGCTTACGATTACACTTAAAGGAATAACTAAATTAGATATTTTATAATTGTACGTTTGATAATAAATGCAAACAGTCAACAATTAACAAAAAAGGGTTATCAGATAAAATTAAAGAAAATAAACGCCCTTAGCGATCATGGCAGACTCGATCCGACCCCGGCAACGGAACATGAAACACACTGGTTTTACACTTTCCTCAGGAAGGCTCACAAAATCGTCTAATTATACTCACGAAATGTGCTTTCGCAATGTTGACATTGAGATTACAGTCTTCCTCGACATTTCCCCATGACATCAGATCTAATTGACTGTTATGCTGCCTTCTTCTAACCACAACCGCCTCATTGTCTACACAAAATTCACCAATTCAAGCCTGATTCTATTCATAGTCTTCAAGGACCCTTTAGAGGCGACCATATTTTCCCTCTTTCAATAGTCGGTGAGAATCACTTCAGGTGAATCAGATTGATTCGGCTCATACATTCTCGAGTCCATCACATTTCAACTTTTAGAGAGAGCATATTGTGGTTGAAAATCAATAACACATCCGGAAAACAAAATAACCAAATATTATTGTGTAGTATTTTTCCTGAACAGCTTGTATAAGAATATGTACTGAGAAAGCCACTTACAAACACTAGTGCAAATCGATTTTTCTAGAGGTCCATTCTTCCACTTATTAACTGCCATCTTGTAGGGAATATACTCACGAAAGACCACCATATACATCTCCCATAGCTATTAGCCAAACGAGTATGTCACCACCTCCAGGTCGTAAATGCACATCGGATTTGGAATGTTCTCTAATTTTGGACAACTACCATTAACTTCAAAAAAACGTTTACGGGAAATCTATTAAGCTTTAGGAATACTAATAGAGTAAGAAACTCATCATTCAAACTCCATTTAATACCTTCTGTTTAATTCTTTCGCTCAGATATTTTGCTTTTGAGCAGGATCAGATACTGCATCGCGTTAACAGACACTATGATACGTCAAGAATGCCAGTAGACACTCCAACTGTAACAAAAGCTATTCAAATGAAAACTGATCACTAATTGGGAAAAAGTCAAATGCTTGATAAACCAAACTATGGAATGGAGTTTGTACGTGCATTCTAATTCCACTTTGACATCACTTTATACTGACCTAATTACAAGTATAAACATCATATTTTGCAATTGTTTATATTCCATGTGGGAAAGCAAATGAACGCGTGAAAGTAATAGAAATGTGGGAGTTGGAAAGATGTTAAAGAGAAGGGCAGGGGATATTATTAAAGGAGTCTAGGTTGATAATCTGTTTAACTAGGATTTTGTAATGACTAAGTAGTGATTATCTCACTACATTATATGAAAAAAATAACTAAATACTCCGATTCGCCCAATGAAGTACTGAGGTCCAATGTCTTACCACTTTCTGCAGTCTCTATTTTCTCTCAAATGCAGAGGCGATACTAGTTTACATGATTTTCAAACACATGTCTACCTATAGGCAGAAAGCGAAGGTCGACGAAACGAGCTAACATATTTCAAACATAGTACAAATCAAAAAGTTCCACTCTGGACAAATCTGCGCTACCTAATGATACTGCCATGATTTATTGACATAAAAAATAACCTTGAAAGAAGAGTAGAATCTAGCCAAGGAGCCCATCTCCACGGCGAAATCGCGATCAGAGAACATAGACGAGTCGGCAGAGTTGAACACAGCGGTAGCAGAGTGGACGCAATAGGCCGCAGCACCCAACAATACTTCCACTTCTGTTAGAGTAGCTTTCACTTCATTAACCTTAGCCCAGGCGTCTGGAACGAGATATTGCAAGTGACCAGGTATTTCTGGGGCGGGGAAAATGGCATCACGCAGAGAGAGACCATACTCCAGCTCACGCAGACGATCCCGCAAGTCTGATGGCAAAACTAGAGAAAGAGAGACAAGACAAAATTAATCATGCGATAAAATAGACAATGTTCCAAGTGCCCTGCGACCAAAAACTAGAACAGCACGCCTTAGCCAAAAGTAACTAGCCATTAGTACAAAAATTGTAATTAATTGAGACGCAGACAGCCCGAATAGAGCATGGGGCTGGGGCGAAAGGGTAACCTAAGCCTATATGAAAAGGAAAAAAGGGAAACATATCGAAGAGCAGAACATCAAAGTAGAACAAGATAGTTCTTGAAAGCTATCAAAACACAGAGACACAGAGGGAAAATGCATTAAGCAATATTTTACTCAATTTTACATCAATATGATAGTTAAAGTTCCGGAAAAACACTTCAGAACGGTGTCTTTTTCCCGAACAAATTGATAAGGCTTTAAAAAGCCATTCCTCCATTCCATTAACGCAAAAATTCCAGTTTTGAATAAAAAAATATTCCCTTTGACAATGAGTTTTAGTGAGGATTGGGGCAGATTTTCACAAAAAAACGACTGAAATTTAGTATTAGCAGAAATCTCATATTTCAAGTGGCAAAACTCACAACATAAATGCTGTCAAGTCATTAAAGTTAAACTCTTCTACCCGAACAAATCAGCCAATTATTTGCCTGAAGTGTGTGCTCTAGGATGCTCTTATGTGCCTGCCTAGGGAAAATGTAATGTGAGCAAGCTAAAATCACATCGGATCAAATTACTTTCCAGAGGAGGGGAGAATTTGAAACTGAAGTGAAGATAACTCAAACGATAATAAGCCATTAAAATAAGAATTCATGAGAAGAAAGTCGAGGTTAAGACGCGTACCTAAAAAACACAGATGTAGAATAAGTTATTAGAGCAACGACAATTATATGATGACTTATTCAATGCTCTTCAACTTAAATTAGAGTATAAGCCATGTTCAACATGTTAATTGGTCGTCGATTTTCATAAATTATGTCATTAACGCAAATCTGCTAATTCAATGCAATTGCCGGCATAAGGTAATGGTTGAGGCCCCTGTTTGGCTTACACTCGAAGTAAGTATTCCACCAACAGAACAGTTTCATGCTTATCTAGTGCTGGAGCACTTAGTAAAGATTTATTTATATCAAATAGCAGGCCTTATGATAGTCATCACTAGCCCTTTAGTTGACTTCGGGCTTCACAGAGGGGAGAAACATTAAAGCCAATAAATATCAAGGGGGGGGGGAGACAAAAGAGTGATTCACTTATGTAAAAGAGACAGACACAAAGGTAGAAAAAAAGTTAAGGTGAAGTGAGTGCCATGGAAGTGTCCGAATATGACATACAGTGGGGTCATGGTAGTTTAAAGTCAGAATTCAACTGTCGGTTGAGCATGCGGTTGCTGCATGAGCATATGTTGTCCAGGGTGCACCACATGCGGATAAGTCCATCGCACACCCCAGTTAGCAAAGGTGGGAAAGGCTAAAGCTTTCCTAGTCTCCTAAGCTACAGAGTTGAAGTTTCCAAATTATAGAGCACTTTCTTTGGTGCAAATAGGGAGACTTCTCGACAATTTCAAAATATCACAATTATAAAAGCAATAAACTGTCAACCTCGCTCCTCCCCCCACATCCCTCATTCCAATGTACAAATTATCACGATGCATATAGAAAATCAGCTCTCGAGTGCCAACCAAACAAGCTTCCGTTTACCTGGCACGACCCACTGAGCAGGCGCACTCGACTTATTAAAGTCATTGGACAAAAAAAAGCCTTCATCCAAAAGCATAAGTAGAAGTGCACAAGACACAAAGGCAATAAAGAACTAGTGAGCACCCAATATGCTAATGAGTTGATATTATCTAGAGGATATAGAGCTACACAATCAACCACTTGTAGGAGACAAAGACATAGCTGTGCCAATTCCCATAAAAAGACACTCATCTATTTGGGGCAGAACGAAAAACTCCAGTCGCCCTCTCTTCTCGCCGGCCATCCCCCTTACATACTTGCTATAAAACACGCGGATGACTAAACTCAGACTAAAATGCATGACTAATAGGCGAAGTCTCAAACGCCAACAAAAAGCAAACAGCTCATCACTGCTGAATAGGTCTGCCAAATGCCCAACTTTGGGCTCTATCTAGACAGATGGTAATACAGACAAATTAAGTCCAAAAAACGGAGGACGTGGTTCAGAAAAGCCGAGCAAGCAGATTCAGATTTCAAGATTTATGGAAGTTAACCCCAAATGGCCAATATCTGGGACAGCGCATGCGTAGACCTCAAGTACATGTTCGCATATGAAAGCTTTTGCCATAACTAGCGGCTGGAAAGTGCATTAGCAACAGTAATCACCGATCAATAAGGTGAAGACCAGATACGGATTCCTAAATCTCTGAGGTTATGCAAGTTTGAATTCCATGGGAGATTTCTTTCAATGTGCAAGGAAACGACCAGAAATTCAATCATTTCAAGTCATTATCCAATACGATAAATATAATTTGAAAAATCGATAGGGATTTGTGAATATTAGGAGAAAAGGTGAAAAATTAACGTTAAAAGAGAATGAAACACGATAATTTTGTTGACTTGGATGAGAGAAGGCGATATGCAGACATTGGACAAACGCTAATTAGGCAGAAGACGAAGCCAACATTCAGTGCACATCAAGGCAATGGGGGGAGGGGGAAACAATTTTCTCATTAATTTAAGGACATTGAAAGAAAGGTATTTTCGATGTGCATTAGACAACTTTATAAGCAAAATCTTATTGACATGCGCACGAGTAGGTCAAAATAGCAAAACAGGTTGAAAGTAAGTTAGCTTCTGAAATTGCTCTTTAAGGGTTTAACGCTATCTGAATAGTGCACTTACTCCTAGAAGCAGCATCCAGGTGGACAATATCATGAGTCCAATCGAGCGCTTCCGGAGCTGCAAGTTCTACAGCCTTGTATAGGGCTTCCATGAAAGGTTTTCGACGATGAGTAGCATTAGAGGCTGTGGTCGCACTGAGAGCGCCATCAGATAGGTGACAAGTTGAGCTGAGGTTTGGAGTGTCACAACTCACGTTTTCTGTTGTGGTAACATCAAGAACACAATCACTGGACTTTCGGCGCATCAAAAGGCACCAATCTACTAGCTGAAATGTAAGAAAATACAATTTAGTAAGAGAGTTTCAGAAGACTAGCAAAAATGGAGTAAGCAACTAGAAGAGTAATTTCATTCATAAAACTTTCGGGAATTGAAGGGCATGGATGGGTAGAGTTGAACACTGATGAGAAAAGTCGTGATTGAATTTAAAATGATCGATTAAAGACGAATTCATTTCAAAATTTAACAACTAGCGCAAAGTCCTAAAGACAAATTTATGCCGCTGTTACGAATGTGTGAAGTCTAGATTAATCAAACAATGCTAAGTCTTTACTGACTAAAAGCAATCATAGACTAAGAAGAGGTAACCAAATAAGACGTTCTTAGCATCACAGAGATTGATCGACAAACACCTTGAAGATTACTCCGGAAAAGGAGACTTTTGCTCCAGGAGTTGAGTAAGGCCGCCATCAGGAATAGAAAAAGAGAGCCTTATGTGGCAAATTGGCACTCTAACTAACAGTAGATACAACATATTGACAAACGGCTAATTCTACTTCTTTAAAAGATTCCATTATTAATGTGTGTTGTGAAATACGAGACAACATTTCCAAAAAAATACTGAACAATAGGATTCAGTTGCTTATTTCACTTGAACTAGTACCTCATAACAGGACCGTGGTAGCTATAAAAGTGTAGTAAATGTGAAATATGCTCAATATCAAGTTAAGATTAGTAAATATAAATGAATGATACAATAAAATAATTGTACAAAATAACAATCACAAGAGAAATCACCAGAACTTTGGACGACAAGGAGGGCAAGACGCATTGAGACGCTATTTTGATGTTAACTAAGGAAATGAACGCAATTGAAGCCTTTTTTGGGGAAATTAGTAGCACAAAAAATTTAATTTGTTTGTTTCTTTGAAGCTGATCAAAATATGAGAACGAGTAATGTCTGGAATAGTTTTTATGTTCTAATGACTGACTAGTCGTCCCACTCTCTCTCTCCCTCCCACTCCCACTCCCACCGCCCCCATAATCATGACTAAGAGTCGGAAATAATTTTATAATTGCGCAGTCCGCTGTGACTAATGGGAATTAAAGCCTAAGTCAACTCTTATTTCATGTTGATGTCGCTGAAAATGCCCAAATCTGTTTTTCGGTATAAGTAGTTAAATGAGTCATTGGGCTTTCACGAAATTCTAACGTCACCATACTGAAAAATTCCATTAATCCTCTAGAAATGGTAATATTGAATAGACAATTGTGAACCCTGATATCTTCAGGGCAGTACTTAGCCATCTACAGAGAGAATTCACCAAGTAGTTCATCAATTTTTCTTACAAAGAAATTAATCGCCACTGTAACTGTAATTTTGGAAAGTCACATAGTTCAAGTTATGCATAAATATCAATACTTTCCCAATATTTTGAGTGGCTAAACTACCGTAGCCATAGCAATAGAGGTCTAGATTTCATATTTGGCATTATGTCAGTGGCGACACAATTACATAATAAATTAAGATGGTTTAAGTCAAAGGACGCCATTTTTTATCCCACAACAATTGAATTATTTAAAATACACAAAAAAGCACAAATAAATTAAAACTCACTTGTTTCGAATTCATGTAGGGGAAGTGCAAAGGCGATGTGATCGAATTCGATACATGAAATTACACACACACCCACACATGGAGCGACATGAGAGAATTGGATCATTTTTGAAAAAAAATCACATAATTAATTTGTCGATTTAGAAGTTAGACGGATGCGTCGGCGTCTAATTTAGGCCCTTGTCAAGCAAAAATTGCCGCATAATTGCAACTGCAAATCTCTGTTTAACCAAATAGCTAATGGTGGGGGGGGGGGGAAGGACAGAATTGTCTCAAACAGATTTCCGAGAAAATATACCTAATTAACTTTGAGAGCAATTACAGAAACAGATGACTAGTGATGACAGTGAATCACTAGAAAATACGAACTCGAAACCAATCAATCCAGTTTAAATGAATGAAATGAAAGCCCTCTTAATATGTCCATAATTTCAGAGAAAGCCAGTATTTATCGGTTGTAAATTCTGTTCAATTGAGCATTTATAGTCATACAATTTTGTGCATAAGAGTTCAGTGGCACCAGAGTGAGAGGAGGGTGGGTGGATTAATCGTTTAAAAGCTTGATATTGAGGAACCCCCACTAAATGATTAGAAAAGCTGATGCAAAACGTGTGTACTGCCTCTTTCTTCTCAGTAACCAGGCAAGTGGATTGCCAATTAGAATGTAAATAACCCCCAAATCACGACTTACCGAAGAGAGATCAGCGACTTCCAAGAAAAGAAAATCAGGTTTGCCCAAAAGGGTGGAGGCTAATGCTTCGGTGATACGGAGGACTGTAGGTAGTTTGGTGCTAATAACAATCGAGTTGCAGCAGGCAGATAGCATCGAGAGTTGCTATAAGTGGAAAATTAATGTCAGACGTAAGTTAACTAGTTAGTCAATAATATCGTTTTTTTAACTACAACGTTATTTTGCAAAGTGGAAAAAGACAGCAAAGAGGAATGACCTGCAAGGAATGCGGCAACGAAACGAAAACATTTAATCCAGTGAATGAACATTAAAACGTGGCAAAAATTAACTTTATTAACCTTCTTCGATAAAAAAAATATGGAAAAAAATTGAAACCGATCGTTTGCGCAAAAAAATTAAAGCTTGAAATTAGGATAGACGCTTCGAATCTGACATGATCCAATAATACAAATTTCATTTAATCACTTTATAACAGACGAACATGACTAGTGGTATTATTCAAAAGAATTGTGCTTACTCATAGATACATCAATATCATAAATAGAGGACCATTTTCTAGCACGCAACAGTGCTCTGGTATTTACATTTCTATGAATAAACAAGGTGCATCAGAAGATTGATGCCAGAGAAATGGCCGATGTGTGTCAACCAAGGTCTTACGTATCCGAAGTCTTAACCAGGTGATTAAAGCTCGCACACACACACACATCAAGGAGCCGAACATACCCAGATTTCACCAAAAAGGGTTTGAAGAAGGAGCAACCTGGCACTGATAAATTGTTAGAAGAGGGAAAGGAAAGCAGGAGATAGATTAGATTAGGGCAGGGGGAGTGAGTCATAGGCTAATAAACAGAAAACGCCCCAACTACCACCGAGGTGTGCGAGAGAAGGCAAGGGCGATGGCTGAATTTGCTTCCTATGGAAATGGAGAGCTAAGCATTTAGAGCAAGCATAGAGTAGGGAGTTGATGGAAGATGCAAGAACAAGGCACCATAAATGCCAAGATCACAAACGAAAAGCAATGGGCTAAACCTAACCCGATGAAGGCTAGAAAATTTCTTCAGAAAATCAAACGATTCACCTATATTGCCCGCAAAACCAAACTCAAAATGTGAGAAATCCGAGTATAGTTTTTAGAGACAATCATATGAAGCCATTGTAAATACGAAAATGCATCGGTTGATCAGATTACCTAACAACGCAAGACTACCTGCTAACCCTTGAAGCAAAGATGAGTAATAGCACGGATAAATAAAGGATATCAAATAACCAGATCAATAAAAATTCGAGCCTAGCATATTAAAATGCTAACAAAATTGATAGAAGCTACTTATGAACCTCCTATTTGCTTTATAGAGCTAAGCGTACGGAACCAAAGACAGTTAAAAAAGATAACTAGGATGTATGCTAAAAGATAGTGCTTGTGAATACCAATCCGGTATTTAGAGGAATTGTTTCATGAGAAAGACGTAATTTAATACTAATCCAATTGTTCAATATCAATATTTAAAATCTACAGACAGTACAGTGAGACCACTTCTGCCAACCCGCTAAGAGGAAGTGTTTTACACAATTTATAGACTTCTGGCAATGCATTTCCACCGAATGCTTAGTCAACACAAATATAATAGGATAAATTTATGGCCTTTTAATAATTAAGGAGTGGTGAAGTGACAATTTGCATACCCAGCCAAACAAACTATCAGAAGAGGAGTAGTGACATAATGCCGATAGGAGTGTTGGGAAATCGAGTAGGCAATTACAATTAATATATGCCATTATTCACGCAGATACCAGCCACAAAGTGAAATTAAACACCGAATAGAGGGGTGTAGTTATTATAGTGGCCTACCATTACTCAGGATTGTAATATGGTAGATCAACTTTTGGATTCGAATAGGTTTCCAACAGCAAACCCAAGCCATTGACATAACAAGAAATAATTAAAAGTGGGACATAAACAAGTGTTGCGCAAATGAACCTACGACCGTACGGCATGGGTGGAAGTAAGTGTAAACGCATAATAATGCCATTCATCAATGAGGAATTTTAATGAGAGGACAAGTCTGGCAGAAAACATGGAAACAATAGCAAAAGTCTGCATTCTAATCCGCACGCATTAAAATATAAAAACCCAGAAACGAATGTGTTAAATAAAGCAAATATCACAAAGCCAAGAAACAGTAAAAATCGAAATGCCATATATTGTAGATTTAACGAGCAGTGAAAACACATTCCACAAAGCAATTATGTGGAGCAATTTGTTGCCCCCCCCCCCCA